AAAGCAAATAACAACCATACACTTGAACTCTTAAAGACTACATGTGTTAGGGAGCTCAAGTATAGATAAGGGAGCCCTTCCCCTCATTTATACATGACATAGACTTAGAGCATAGTTGGAGACTTAGACTTAGACATAGATTGAGACATTTATAAGGAACACATTGAAAGTCAAAAATAACAATTATACATTCATCAAGTAAATAGAATAACATTGCCTTAACTTTTTCCTTCTTCGTTTTCTCCCAAATTCCTAGGAAACCAATTGAGTTCACTGCACGGTGCTAAGCACTGTGTTTGGAAAAAGCTGACTTAGGCATATTGAATGATAGTTCTTTTCTGAGACCACAAGGTTGCTAGGCTTAAACTCCAAGCCTGTGACACATGCACACGCTTCGATCAATATGATCTTGATCACTACTATTTCACTTTCTAACGTTAATGATTTTGTATATAATTTAACTCTTTCATCAATCATTCTCTACAACTTTAATGAAGATGTCAACTATATACTTCAATCCATTCAAGTGACTTTAATTGCTCAAGTACTTAAAAAGAAATTATAAATCATTTGTGAAAGAATCATATTTGATTCTTCAATTGTTGACTTTATTGAAGAATGTCTCATTACTTGAAACTCATAAGATTAGCTATTTTTGGATGTAGATAAATATTTTCAATTTTCAGTCAAGAAGTTTTCTTTTAGATGTTAATTCTAGTGATTCAAATAAGGCAATGATGAAAATTTCTAGTCAAGATGAGGAGGTTAATCTCATTCCTTCTTTCTTCATTTTGATTTTTATTTTGAAGCATTTGTAATTTTAGTAGTTTACAAGTTTTCTCATTGATGGTTTTAGTAACTCTTTTAGCTTAAGGTCCATTTGAATGGGCAATGAGATTGATTTCAATGACATTGAAAATAGTAATGAAAGTTACTGTAACTATGATTGAAAAAAAATTATTGTAGTTGTGATTAAAAAAGAAATTCATAGAGAAATTTATGCTGAATAGACTTCACTGAAATTAATATTTGAATTCAACAATAATACGGTGAATTCAACTCCACCGCACTGAAGGTGTGGTGGAGTGGAATCTAAACCCCCACTTAGTATAGAGTTGAAATATATATATATATATATATATATATATAAAGGGAGTTGATAAATTCAATTTTCAATCACTAAGTCTTCTTTTAGATGTTAATTCTAGTGATTCAAATAAGGCAATGATGAAATTTTCTAGTCAAGATGAGGAGGTTAATCTCATTCCTTCTTTCTTAATTTTGATTATTGTTTTAAAGCATTTGTAAATGTAGTAGTTTACAAGTTTTCTCATTGATGGTTTTAGTAACTCTTTTAGCTTATGATCCATTTGAATGGGCAATAAGATTAATTTCAATGAAATTGAAAACAGTAACAAAACTTACTATAACTACGATTGAAAAAAAATTATTATAGCTATGATTAAAAAAAATTCATAGAGAAATTTATGTTGAATGAACTTTACTGAAATTAATATTTGAATTCAATTGATGATGCGATGAGTTCAACTCCATTGCACTAAATGTGTGGTGGAGTGGAATCCAAACCCCAACTTAATATGGTGTTGAAATATATATATAAGGAGTTGATAAAGCTAGCATATGGACACCAAGAATATAATTATTATTAAGAAAACTCCAAATGTCTTGGGGCGGAACTAAATAATAGTGCTATCCTAAAGAAAGATGCTTAAAATGAGAAGCCATCCAAACTGCACAAAAATTAGCTTCAATCCAAATGTCACTCCAAATGAGCCACACCCCTCTTATAAGCTTCCCATTGAAACTTGCTCTGGTGATGATGAACATGTAAGCAATTTCTTTCTTTTAACTCACAATTTATATAGTCATTTACTTGCTACGCTATTTATCTACGTATCCTCTCTTTTAGATTTTTTTTTCTTTTTACATTTTTTCAGACTATTTAGTATATATTCCTTCTTCTTCACCCTTTTTTGTGTAATAGATACTTCGTAGTCTTAATCTTGTAAACTTTATGAGTGATGAATTGAAGTCTATTACAACTGAAATAGAAAACCCGAAATTTAGCTAACTTAATCATTTTAAAGAGGTGATATCAAACAGATACGAGTTCAAATCTAATAGTTATAACATTTTATCTTATTTCCAAAACTGTAACTTCTTTTATTAAAAAAAAAAATTGAAATAGAAGCAATTGCAATAACTCTTGAGCGAGGTAATCTAAGAAACTATTTAAAGGAGAGTAGGAAAACCAGTGAATGAGAGATGAAGATCTATCAAACTCTTTCTCTAATTATGAGTTCATCCCATGCTCAACGTTTTATTGTCTTGGATATCAAAACAATTGGTGTTTGATCAACAATATATGAACTTTCCAATGATAGAGTGTTGTTGTTAGTTTAATCTTGGAAGTTTTTAAAATTAAATTGGTTAAAGCCTTAAACGTCAAAGTTTAATTTTCTCTCAAATTTCCTTTCGCTAAAATTTTTCGTGAACGAAACATACATAAGAAAACATTTTTCTTGATATTTTCCTTGAAATAAGGTAAGGATTTTGATTTTGCTCCTTTCATTTTTCTTTCTTGCAAAATTTTATTAATATTTTTTAACTCGCCATTTTTAATAATTCATTTTTGCTTTTTTTTTTTTGGTTGGTACAATAATACTTAGATTGAGAATGTAAATCATGATAGTTCTTGAACATGGAGTTTTGCGAGTGGAAGTGCCATGTCAACCCTTCAAGTACCGTCATGGCCACTCCCCTAAATCCATCATGAAGTCCGACATGGACTTTGCAAAGAGTAACTCAAGCCAAATGGCAGCAATAAGAGCCGCCAAGACCTTATCCCAGATCTATAATCTAATCCAACATCCAAAGACAAGCTGATTACCTTCACATATAAAAAAAACACAACTTCCCACACTCATTTTTCTGTTAGTTTTATACACAATACAAAACTAGGCCGAAGAATAGTGTTTCTAAGTGTAAAACAAGGAAATAAGCAGCTAGCATGGCCTCCACCGCATGCTTCTTGCACCACCATGCACTCACCACCGCAAGCAGATCATCATCATCAACATCACAGCACCAAGTTGCAAACATCAAGCTAAACCAGCCAGTGTGCAGGGCTCAGAAGCAGGTGGTCCAAGAGGCCGATGATGGAAGCCTTGTCTCCCGTAGGTTGGCTCTCACTGTGCTCATTGGTGCTGCAGAGGTTGGCTCTAAGGTTTCTCCTGCTGATGCTGCCTATGGTGAAGCTGGTAACTTCCTTTCTATTATCCTTGAATTATTAAATCTTCATAAGATAATCTAATAAGGCAATGTCAGCAGCCTTTTAGGCCTCATTTCCTCTATGAGGATGATGACATTCTGGGAAATGAAATAGTAAGAATTGATAAATATATATATATATATATATCATCATAGTTTCTATATAATGACTTAAAATTGAGGTTGATTTGCAGCCAATGTATTTGGTAAGCCCAAAACTAACAGAGACTTCTTACCATACAATGGAGACAGGTTCAAGCTGTCAATACCATCAAAATGGAACCCAAGCAAAGAGGTTGAGTACCCAGGTCAAGTCCTCAGATAAGAGGACAACTTCGACTCAACCAGCAACGTTGCTGTCATTGTCAATCCAACTGACAAGAAGTCCATAACTGACTATGGTTCCACTCAGGATTTCCTCTCAAGGTAAAATATGATTTCTATACATCCACAATCTGACCCTTCAAGAATTTTAAGATTAAAGATTTCAAGTATTAAGAATATAATTAATGTTTGCTGATTAATTTGCATCTCATGGATCTTTGCAGATGGACTATCTGCTTGGAAAACAAGCATACTCTGGTTTAACTGATGCTGTGGTAATTTACTAACATATCAAGGGAGAAAAAAAAAAAAGGAAAATTAGAATGGGAGTTGGTTGGGCATTGTTAGTCATGTAGGTAATTTCCAAATTATTTGCAAAGAGGACACTGAACGTAGTTATAGCAACCAACAGCCATGTTGTCCATTGGTAAAGTGCCGGATTTTTAGTTTCAGTAAAAATTTAGTGACATGGTTCAATCCTTAACAGCTTTTTAAGTACCAAAAACATAGTTGTAGCAGCTTTTTGGAACCATTGCCTCATCATAGACTTCATTGTGTGTCCCTTATTTCCTGTCTTATTTTTTTCCAATAACAAGCAAATCTCTCTAATGTATGATTACATTACATACTTGAATTGGTCAGGGTGGTTTTGATTCCAATGCAGTGGCAACAGCAAACATATTGGAGAGTTCAAGACCTGTGGTTGGAGGGAAACAGTACTACTTGTCGGTGTTGACAAGAACTGCTGATGGGGATGAAGATGGGAAGCACCAACTAATTACAGCCACTGTAAAAGATGATAAGCTTTACGTTTGCAAAGCACAAGCTGGAGACGAGGTGGTTCAACGAAGCTAGAAAGTTTGAGGAGAGCACTGCAAGTTCCTTCAGTGTTGCTTAATAACTTATATTAAGGAGAGATTTTATGTAAATCTTCTTAGCAGTTATGATGTTTGATTTGAGTTTGTCTATCATCCACTCCCCTCCAAAGCTTCTATATTTCTATATTTTTCCTTTTTGTGGAAGCTTGTGGATACCTAAATATTTCATGGCACATAATTAAGGAGCAACCCTTCTGCTATATTACTCCTTTAATCTTTCTAAATTTCTCCCCTAGAAATCATAATAATTCAAGAGTAATCTATTTACACGGGTATTAAATTAAAGCGTTTTCAATTTTTTTTTAAATCATTGACATTCTTCAAATTCATCATACCAATTCAATCATGGGTTGAGATTAGTTGTTAAACTCTCAACCATTTAGTTAAAAAACCTTAAAGAAACTATTTAATCTCAACCGTTGGATGAATATCTAAAGCTAAAAAAAAAAAGGTATAAACTTCCGTAAGTTATCCCTTTTCATAATTCAAATGTCAAATGTGCAATTAACCATAATATAAATGCATACGAATGCAAGTCAACACCAGAAAACATATGCAGACAGGTGCTTGTGAGCAAGCAAGCTCTAAATTTTCACAAATTAATTGAATGTTAAAAAGGAGAAATAGCAAATTTATTATCAGAAAGTTGCTGCATTGTTGATAATCTTTTTTTGATATGAATGTCAGTTTTCAACAAGGTAAAGTATTTACATGAAACCAATTTTATCAGATATCAATGACTGAAGATTTCATGCATTCAATCTCTCAGGTTGCTCCATTGCAATAATGGATGCCGTTGCTGTGGGTGTCTTTCCGCTTTGCGCTTAGATTTTTCAAGCCCCATATCCGAATTGTACGATCATCACTAGCTGATGCCAACATGTGAGGGTTTGCTGGATTCCAGCTCACACAACTAACAGCTCCAGAATGACCTGGTAATGCTTCTATAAGCTCCCCTCTGCCCCTATGCCATATATAGACCTAAACATAGAGCAAAAGGAAAATTAAATTTCACTCACTTGAACTTCAGATATAAACCACATTCCTCATAAATTTACATTTACAAAATGTGTGTGCATAATGTCACATTGTTTAATTAGTATTGCAGCACTATACCAGTGACAAAAACAGAGTAGAGTCCACTAATGACGCCATAAACATCTAGGAAAAACCAAGATCCATTTGTCTGGACTAAAGTGCTAAGGCACCATATCCAGGCAGCGAAAAGTTCCCATTTGGAAAAAATCTGTGAGGTTGCAGATGGGTATACTGCTGTAAGCAGATGTGAAAATTTCTTGGTACATATGACTAAATCTATGTTTGGGGTTGGGGGGTAGAAATTCTAGAAAAAGAAAAGAAATTGGACTGTAGAATGACAAGATATACTCGTGCACCATGCAGATAGCCAATGTTTATGCTAACACGTGCATGGCTGATATATGTTGAGCCCATCAGTTACAAATAAATATCTTAGAGCATTTTCTGAGATAAAGACATTGCTAAGGTGAAGAATGAGGAAAAAATACATTAATCAGCTACTTGACAGGGAAAGTATTGTGAAAACACATGAGAGAAAATCCATGGCTCTGATATACAAGACAGTATCATCTATACAAGCATATGATTGCACAAGATGATTACATGAAAAGCAATGTGACTTTCACTGATGAAGCAAAAACTATATCTATACTTGCTTGAGATCTTGTAGTCTTCACAAAACATCAGTCTCTTATTTATACTACAATGTCACTCAAATGACACATCTATGCAAAGATGAATCCCATATATAATATAAGTCAACTCATAGCAGCCATATTATGAGAATAATGCTTTCCATATTATTCATAGGCCAACTTATTTCTACAGATTGATATAGAACAAATTTAAAGTCATACCAGTGAATCCTCACTACCGCTGGCAATAAAAGCTTGCTCAAGTCCTCCAAAACAAGACCTAATGATGAAGCGGGTGCGTTTATGGCCTCTATATTTAGAAACAAGCTTCACATCACCTTCAATATTCCATAAATGGATTTCTTGGTTTAAAAGATTTACCAGCAAGAATCTATTGTCTCTTGATAATGAGAACGAAGTTATTGTTTGATCCTCTTCAATAAATCTCTCAACTTTTGCTTCCCTGTCAAGTAATAATATAGCTCTTTCCCTACATATACTTATAATCTGCTTTCCATCATTTGTTATTTCCAAATCAGAAATTTTTAGAGTTCGTGGCCCTTTCCAGCACTCTAGCTCTTTTCCATCCAATTCCCACATGCAGATACTCTTATCATTCACACCAGAAAATATCCATTTGCCATCTGGAGACCATCCACATGAAACCATGCCAAGACCAGCTTTTTCATAAACATGGAGGCATTCACCAGAAGGGACATCCCAGCGCCTTACAACCTCCTCTACACCACATGTGAGAAGCTCATGGTCATCTGGACTCCATGATACAGAAGAGATAGGTTTCTGGTGACCGGAGAGTTTACGTTTAAAAGATACTCCATTTGCATCAACCTACAATAAATTAAATATCAGAATGAGAAAATCGGCTAATGCTAGGCTTTTGAGTAAGCAAAAATATGGCTGATTCAATCATTCAGCAGTCATCTAAGCATTTCACACATTAATACAACCCCTATATGTTTGAAATTTAGATTCCAGCCAAGAGAAAGCCCTAATTTCACCAAAACCCTTGAATTTGGATACCAATAAAAAACTTAAGAGATTAATAATTCAAATGAAAATAAAACTATGCCCTCCACTGATATGCTAAAAAAGAAAGCTAAGGAAGGCATCGAAAAAGATAGTATAAAAGAATTTTGGGCAGATGGTATCCAGACTATAGCGTGGAAATGTGGAGGAGAAGAAAAATATCTTGGCTTACAAACTTTATTCAATAGTCCAAGACAATACTAGATGAGTAGAGAAAGAGCAATATTTCTTTCTTCTTTAAGAAGAAAAAAACTTACCTGCATACAAGAAAAAAGAGGGCATAATATTACAAAGGCATCAAATTTATATGTCATATGATGATATTGTTGGAAATGGTGATCAAACAGAAGTTAAGGAAAGAGATTAGCATTTTTGAAAATCAAATTGATTTTATCTCAATCAACTTGACTATTAAAACTATTTATCCGAGGGCTTTGCTACAAAAAATCCATCTTAGGTATATCTTTTTTGACCTTTCTCCATTCTTCCAACTTTGATGCATCCCACTGTTGAAGCTTTTCGTTTTTGTTTACTTGATTCTTAACTCTTACCTTGTTTTCCTTTCAACAATTGCCACACTGACTACTATGCAAAACATTCACAATATCAGGATGAGAAAATGACAATTTTGTAGTTGAACAAAACAACCATACCCTAAGCCGCCACTATCTAATTTCATTCAAACAGGCACCATCATGATCAACTCCATAATTCCTCCCTAAATCATCAGAGGAAGTACCTCTTTTATCATATTCCAACATTTTCTATTTTGTTACATCCAAATGCTAGTACAACCGAGGCCCTATAAGGAAAAAATTACTAAGCTTTAATTATCAGAGTTCTTTCTTTATTGCATCAAGGGATACTCATTTTTCTAGGGCTCCAATTATATTGCTTTTTCTATTTGTTCTTTGTTATTTGCTTTTCAACTCCACAGACTTGCTTAAAAAACAATAAGTAATAAGGAAAAAGCAAAATCATATTTGATTAACTGAACAAATGGCTAAAATAATCCACACATTTAGACATAATTCCTCCATACGAAAGAATAAAATCATGAATTTTGTTATGCACAAAAGTCATTTTTAATTTTTCAAAAATACTAATCTACTTTAATTTTTTACCACACTTTACATTTTTTCGTTTGAAAACAAAATCAAGTAGCAAAAATAACTACCAAGCATAATCTAAGTTTAATCTCCAAGAAGCCACATCTCTTTTATCATTTCTTTCTTTCCTTATTTCATTATGTTGGCAGCAATTCTGTTGAAGATGAGGTAGAATATAAGCTACAATAGAACCATAAGGTATTAACAAAAAATGAAAAAGATTGAATTGAACATTGGAAATAAGCATCTAAGAACACAATTTATGTTACTAGATTTAATCGAAAGTACATAAAAATTACTAAACTCATGTCCACAATGGACTATGAAAAACAGAGTTGAAAATTTAAATCAATTTATTACTATAGGTAGGAATTAAAAATAAACAATTGCAACACATATATGTTTATAATGTTCCAATTGAATAGCAATACCTCCCAAATGATTGCTGACTTATCATTTGATGATGAAGCTAAGTATTTCCCATTATGTGAAAATTGCAAGAACCATACTTCATCAGTGTGAGCCTGTAGTATCTATTGCAAGAGAAACAAAAAAAGGGTTTAAAAAAAATAATTTGCAATAATAATTCAAGAAAAGTAAAATGCAAGCCACAAGTAGATAAACTTTCAAAGAAGAAATAAACAAGCAGAAAATTAAATCAAGTATCAGCAAATATTTCCGATCAGAGGACACTAAAACAAATTCACTTGACTGCATATGTAAACAAACAATATTATCTTTTTCCTAGACTTGGCAATTTAAGAACATGACCAGCTAACATGATATGAACACGACATATAGGAAAGTGGGTTTGGATGTTGTATAATTGTGTGTGTCATGATCATCTCAACCAGCTTATGACACAAAAATATTTGTGTTATGCAAGCTGACCCACCTAACCTGCATATGACCCATTTCATGTCCAATTAATTGTATCAATACATTTCCACATTACTCAAAATATCTAACATGTTAAGCTCATTTATGGAATTATTGTTATTTAAATTAAATAAAATAATACTATTATTATTCATGTTTAAATATGTTCATCATGTCTAACTGGGTTAATCATATCATGTCTAAATAGGTTGATCACATTTAAAAGTGTTAACCATGTTATGCTATGTAATCAATATAATTAACGTGTCACGTTCGTGTGAAAGACTTTAACAAAATTAATTAATCATGCAATGTTCGTGTCGACCCATTTACCTACTATACTCTTATCTTGACATGACACGATTACAACCCGTTAACACAAATTGCCAGCCCTAGTTTTTCCTTTCCCCTTAGTGAGGCAATTTGCTAGTAGTGTGACTTGGCTCAAGAAAGATCCAAAAATGGAGGAAAGGAAAATTGTGAGAAAAGAAGTTTAAGGAATGGAAGCATTTTTGTTGTTCACTCTACTCATATTCTTGGTAGGAAAAACAGAAAGTGAAAGGAAAGGAAATTATTATTATCCATTGCTCAATAGAATTGAAAGTAGTAGGAAAGAAAATTAAAAATAACATCATTTTACCATTATAGCATTTCTGAATGCAAATAAAAGGACAACTAAAAAATGCATTAGTTAATGTTACTATAACTTAATTTACATTCCTCCTTTTTCTCTTCCACAATTTCCCCAAACTGGAAGGACTGATTTTTGTCATTATAGATAAAATGGCAATCGCTTTTATTTTCTTTCCTCTCACTTTCTTCTCCTACCAAATCTAAGTAGCAATTATTTTCTTTCCAATTTTCTTTTCATATCTTTCCATCTACCTGCTTTTCTCTTCTACTAACCGAAGCCTAAGATGCCTAACATATCATTACAAAGCAATTGGTATAATTCATACATCCAAATACATTATGAACTAATCTGAAATCTACGAAAAGAAAAAGAAAGCAAACAAATAATGATATAGTGATAATTTCAAGAAAAACTATTGTGAAGAGTATCCATTAGAAACCTTTCAAGCACAGCTACAACTAAGATTTATGACATGTAAAAACAATTTCCTTAACAAAAAAATAGGAATTAACAAATCCAATAACCAGAATATTATGAACCTAAGAACTAAATGAATTCTTGCCAAGAATACTTCAAAAATATTGGGAAAATCCAACATCACTTGGAGCATAAAATTTTCCTTTAACTCTATTTGACATGTTCCACACCAATTTGTGACTAAAAAACTCCTAAACCCAACCTAGACAGTGGTAGAATATTGTTAAATCAGTTCTCCAAGTAGATATGATATGCATTAATAATAGTTAAAAAGTCAGACATTGTTGGTCTCTTTTACAGTTTACTAGAAGCCTAACCACTAAAAGATATTTAAAAAGAAAATTAAAAGTAAAAGAAAGGATAAACCTATATTAATGAAGCTTCAGTTCATTTATAATTTGGGAAGATGCTGTAGAAACAAAAGAAAAGAACAAAAGGGAAATTCAAAAACAAAATTCCCTTTTACCTTTCACAGTTTAAACCTAAAGCCGCCACACCTTATCCACTAGCTGCTCAAGTGATGAGCAAATAAAGATAAATGTATTATCTATTTCATTCTAATGTTTAAATTTTATGGTGGTCACAAATCTCACTAATGGTTGTAACATAATGATTCTCTCTCTCCATCAGAAAATGAAATTACTTCTATAGTTTCTGAAAATTCATTGATCATAAATGTCACTTTATCTTTATTGAGAAATAATTGCCACAATTTTAAATTTAATGTACAATAATCTTTTCTCTTTGTGGTTAAACATAGTTCCTTTATTTAATATTGGCTTACATGGTTCATATTCAACATTAAACCCGTATATGTAACCAATGCTCCTATTCAGAGATTAATGATAAGGGGAATCGATTCTCTTCCATTAAAACCAAAAATTTTCAAAAATCCACCTTTGCAAGCAATTTTGTGGTTTTGAAACTCAGCACAAGAAGTTCAACTCCTAGGATTGTCGTCTCCAAGCACCACAGGAATGCTAATCCAAAAAGGTTAATAATATGTACCAAATAAAAAAGCAAGAAAGTGGATACGAGCATTTTAAAGGAATGTCAACCTTGGGGTTTTTTTTATCATTATTTCCTCAAGTTTATCATCTTGCACAAAGTGTCAAATTTTGCCCAAACCCATTTGTGCTGCCCATATTGCCTTAAAATTTGTCCATCCAGCTGCCCATTGATTAAATGGGTATCAGGTACATCCATTTAATCCATATTTAAAACAAAGTAACTGGTGCCCTGGGGTACCCAATAAGCGTCTATTGTTTTAAACACAATGCCCAATGGTCAGCTAATTTGAAAATTTTTTTCTCTCTTTCTTTACTTATCTTAATTTCACAGCCCATAATGTTAATAACAACTAACCATACATTCAATGGATAAAAAAAACATGCAATAACATTTTAGAATATTTATTAATCATTTATAATTTCAAATGCCCATTTCGTTCGTTTTTAATTACAAATTAAGCATAATGTTTTTCACATATGTCATAAATTTTGTGGTGTTTAAAAGATAAATTTATTAAAAAAATTAGAAAAAGATAAAAATCTGATAGTAGATTCGGCTGGTCCTTATAAATGGGTGATGGGTGGCTTGGGCATAGAGATATACAAATTAAACTGGTCACAAACAGGCATATAGGTAATTATAACCCAACCCATTTATGCGTCACTTATACCAGTTCGTGCCTGCCCATTTGACACCCTATTGTACTTGATATGACCAACATGATAGGTAGTTGGGTTGGAATGCATCAAGAAACATCACATCATCCCAACTACATGTAACATAAGACAAATTCAATGAACCAACTACAAGATATTTATAAAGGTTTTTGGTCCAAGAGTATGGCTCTTGAAAAAGTTGTGAAAAGATGTCTATATAGACATAACCTCGCTAATCCTAATACAACTAAGATTCCTCAAATTACAAGATTCCCATGTATTTCATGGCATAAAGTTTTGTGTCACTTTTTGTCTATGTCACTGCTCAAGGCAAGGAGCAACTGATCTTTAAAGATTATCTAATTGACCAACTCATAAGCTATGATATTTGATTAACACTATAGAGTTTGGGAAGTATATGCTTGCAGGTGTTTAAGAACACCGTTAGATTTGTCTTAAGGATTCACTAGAAGACTTCATGGGTGGTTGTTAGGTTATCAAACCTCATTGTCTCAATCCATTAGATCATCCCTGAAAGATCTTGCTACAAAATGAATGTCCATATTTTCCATCAAGCTTAAATCACTTTACATGAAAGCACAATCCATGTTTAAGTAATTGAATCCATGAATGAGGGACAAATTGGTCTGGAAGATGAAGCTAAAGCACATACTAAGATCTTGTCCGAAGAGGTTGTGACAAAAATCCTGATAGACAAAGTTTTTTGGCACCAACACCCATTGGTCCAAACATCGTTGGTAATAATATAAAGGACTTAATATATTGATGAAATTAAGGACATATATTGATGAAATTAAGGACCCTGGTCAAACCACCACAAAAAGCCATACACAAAAGAAAAAAGAAAACCACGCAGATAAGATGCAACGGACAATAATCAAGGCCTTTTTTATAGAATACAAATTAACAAAAAATACTCTTTAGTAGCAGAATAGAATAAAACTAGCAGACTTAAAATTCCATAACTGCCAAGTGCAGTTTCCATTAGTCCAAGAAGATATTTTTATGTTTGGAAATGCCATCTCTTTCCCTTGCACTTCAAAAGAGGATTACACTTCCCCAATAAAATGTCAATGAATCATAAAATTCTTCTTATTAACATGTGATGTATAATTTTCTTGGAGACACTTCCAATTGTTGATTGTTCAAATCAACCATGTGGCATATGATAGGACTACCTCCCAAACACCACATGTACATTTTAAGCATGTCCATGTTATGCATCAAAATTTTACAGAAGTTTCATCCTTTTGGCAAGCAAAGGCAAAGCTGAGTTAAGGAAACTAGGTTTAATGAACTATTACAACGTATCATCAGTAGTTTCACTTGCTTACCTGGTTTATTATTCTTGAACCAAACCTTTGGCTGCCAAAAAAAGAAGTTATTGCTTTGTACATTCACCAACTTATAAAATGACCTTCCATTTGCATTCTCATTAAGAGATCGCATTAAATTCCAGCTTTGCCAAACAATTCTCAAGCACCATGATTAGGAACCTTCCTTGCAAGATTCTTCCAATCATGCATGAGAATTAAACAGCTAACTATCTAGTCAATTACAGAGCTCAATTTACTTCTAAAAAGAAGTATTCAAACCCTAACTCCAGTGAAAGTATAAACACCAAAACTTAAAAACCTAACTTATAACCAAGTACCTAAGATCAGTTCTATCATACCTGAATCAAAAATATATTTATGTTAATCAAGGAACCTGCTTCAAGATGGCAATGAATATCCATACTGATAAGGCACAAGCTAATTTCCACAAAACTAACCCAAGAAAATGGCAAAGAATGCACTGTGTACCGTTTGTTATGATTGCAGCACTTGAAAATTTGTATCAATAAAAAAACGTAAAGAACTGAGAATTTTTCCACCTTAAAGTAAAAAATGAAAGATAAGAAACAAAGATTTAATAACAAAAAAAATCTGATTACCAGAATAGAATCTAACCTGCAATGTTTGAGAAGGAATTTGATCTCTCCCACACTGATGATCAGCATATAGTGACATTTCCTTATCCAAAGAGTTGTGAAACATGCAAGAGTCTCGTTGCAAGACAAGGGCCTGTTCAACTAAATGCTCCAACCTTCTTTCGGGGATCATAACTGTTGGAGGAAGTAGCTTCTGTAATTCTTCCAATAATTTAGTCCGAGATCGAGCCCTCAATGTATCTTGTTTACAAGACCGAACAGAAAAACAGTGAGAGGGAGACACAATGAATGAAGAAAGCTCACGAACTCTGCTATTATTTATACAAAGAGGTGCAATCTCAGTCCTCAATGTCTTCAGAGCATCCATGACATTTTCTTCATCTAAAAGTTCAAAAAACTTCTGTTCCAATATCAGAAAAGAGGCTGATTTTATGGTCCTTTCATCTGTTAGACCAATATTATGCAATGTGACAACACTTTCATCCCAATTTCCCTCAAGAATTTGCCGCATAAATATGTTGACCACAGAAGAATGTAATGGTATCCCTGACTCTTCCTCTAGACGAGCACCACTCTTTATATAACCAAGAGAGTATAATGCTTTTGCTATTATTCGGACAAATTCTACCTTCTTTATAACTCCTTTTGAGCCAACAACTTCTTCACCCCCTTCAGACTGCAGGGGCCGAGCCATCAAGTCTCCTGAAGACCCAGCTACAGGCTCTTTAATAGTTGAACCGTTTGAAAGATGTCTCAATTCTTTAGAGGATAGTTTCATGCGTTTTGAGGCTGGTTCATCATCCTCTTCACCTCCCATGAAATGTGCACCTCAGCCCATATATTATTGGAACGGTAAAAAAACGGCAACACGGTAAATAGTAATGTCTGTAATGAATCACAAGGAATAAAACCCTGCATAAAATAGTCAATAACACGTTGTAAGTTCCTAAAATTAAGCATAAGAACAAGAGAAAGAATCACAGAGAAAAACCTCACCATTATAAATGTGAGATTACAACAAAACGATACAATTAAGGTAAAAAAAAAATCACAAATATGAGAAGGCTACACGTTATTACCTGAAAGTAATCAGTTCAGCTATCCTCATAAAATGTGCAATACAAGCCTTTTATACTTTTCCAATCTAGATATCATTTAGTTTTCATATAGAAGTTCATACAACTCTGATTCTCTTAATAATTTAAATACCACCACTATACTAGAATGGTTATCAGTCAAGCATTACAGTATAAAGGTAAGAATTCCTACTGTAAACAGAAGGTTTGGATTAAAGGAAGAAAAGTGGGAAAGGCAGTAAGGCACAAAAATAAATAAATAAATAAAAAGAAGAGAAAAGATCTAGGTCAGATTCTTAACGGCATCCATAGGACAATTCAGTTAATCATAATAAATTCAATAGAACTTTGCCCCATAGAGAACAATGATCATATGAGCTATTATTTACCTAACTAACCATAATAAGTTCAATATAAGCTTCATCTATAGAGAAATATGATTATAAGGTTCTAGCTAGATAAGAAGTCTATTTTGACTAAGATGTCATCAGCCTAACATCACAGTTTCTATTTTCCAGCTATTCTGTTTAACATAATGGTTACAATCTCCCAGCCAACATTTTCAAAATATTCCAATATTAACACAACCCATAGGACATACTTAATTGCAGATGTCACACCATTTGTGGTTTAGTTCCTAAGCTATAACAACAATGATAACTTCCCTGGCTCAGGGATAGAGCCATGTACAGCAACAGCTATCATGATGGCTTCAGTTGTCTATCCAGAACAATAAAAACAAATATTTTATCGATGTTACAGTGATGGATATCATATAGCCCGCAAATGTAACCCTGGATAAGTCTACCCATTAGTCAGCATAAGGAATCCAAGGCAAATTAGAGGCACCCCCTAACTCAAAATTTCAGCCAAAAAATAAAATTCAAGGTAACTTGCACTTTAAAGACAAATTATACAGATTACTAAACTCCCCTTACCTTTAAGGATTAAAACAATTTGTTAATTTGATATAATTGGAGATCCTATAAGTAAGAAAGAAAATTAACACATCATTCTTGCTACAAGTAAGAATTTAACCTAAATGACTTTGTATCCAATTTGGAAAACAAAGGGAATATTTCATTAATTTGATACAACTGAAGATACTCTAAAAGGACATTGCTTCTGAATTAGTCATATTGGAAGAATGAATTAAAAACATTTACACTGTGTTTGGTAGGAAGGAAACACTACTTTCTTTCCATTCTTTCCTTGGTAGGAGGGAAATAGGAAGAGGGAAGGAAAATGAGCGGATTTGCACCTTTCCCTTTTCTCCAAATCCAATCCTTGCAAATGAGAGGAAAACACTCATTCAACTTAAGTAACAATTTTATTTACAACTTTACCCCAAACCTCTTTCTTTCCCTCTATTTTCCATTCTTCATACCTAACACAATGAAGTAAAAATAACTTTCCTTCCTCTCCTTCCTTTTATCTTTCCTTTCCCACCATTTTCCTTCCTACCAAACATAGTGTTAAAGCAATTCTACTGCTATTACACGCGATGTGCTGACACAATCTGACTTTCAACTTTGTTGTTCTTGAACATTTTATTTGTGATAAAAAAGTTTTCAGTATTATAACACTCACTCAACTATCAACAAAAAGCATTTTGAAGTACAATCTTTGCTACTTTAGATCACTAAGCTTTGCAAGTGCCAATGATTGCAAATTGAGTAAAAGTTGGGAAGTTCAATCATTACATGGACAATTAAAGGAGAAGAAACTATCATTACATCCATCTACAATAGCAATTTACTTTCCTTTACATTTTGCTCAGCCTATGTACAACTTCTTTATCCCAAATTAACATGAAAAAGAGGAACATGGACAAAAGCATGAAGGACTCAGAAAGTATAAGGTATGTTTTGCTAGGATTGGGACCGAAATTAAGCAGTCACCATTCTTAATACCAATGTGCAAGCCTGAGAACGTTGCAGATTCCAAAAAATCAACTTGTCAACTTATAGGTTGAGAAAATGCAAGTGCTCAGTCAGTTATAAAACGCCACATTTATGATTGATTGAAGCATCTATATGATATAAGGAATCAGATCACCACAATATCCATATATGATGAAGTTCAAGCTAAACATATTACATTAAAAATATGATGACCATTTGAGACAGATAATAGGAAGAGCCATTGTCGCCAAAATTAACATGTAGAAATGAACAAAGACGACGAATTTTGTTCCAAAATTGAATAAAAAATGTTTCTAGCAGAAATGATGGAAAACCCGCATCACATATAAATTCAACAATGTGGAGTCTTTACAATACCAAGCAGCTAAAACTAATAATATCAAAATATACTTGGAAAATAACAGAAGTTACTAGCAAATTAGTGCTAAGACAAAACTTACCCAAGACCAGCATAAAATTAGTTTGCAAGATAAATCAGGGTAAAATCAGCAGTAAAAAAAAAAAGAAATCTGAAATACCCAGAAGGGGATTATATACCATGGAGCCGATTCAGATCAGAAAAAATCAGATTGAGAATCCAATAATTAAAATAAATTGAATAAAGGTGAAGAAATTGAAAAAAAAAAATCGATCACCTTTTCTCTTATTTGTCGGCAAACAATTGATTTAAGCGAGAAACAGAGAAAATGAAGAAAAAAAAAGTATAAGAATTAAAATCAGATGTGAAAGTTTAAAGGGCTATCCGTGCCCGAGAAAAAGAAAAGTGTTTTGTGTCCTTCCAAAAGGGGTAGAAAACAACACTGGGATTTATGATGCAAGGGTGAGAGATGATGGCTGTGTGCCTGTGAATAGGGAATGGGGCTCTTTTGACAGTTTCATCTAAGGTTTACCTTTAAGGGCAATTCAGGCCAAATTTGCTCGAAGGCTTCATGATGGGTTGGGCTCGTGGTAGAACTTATGACCTTGGTATATATGATGATTATGCTCTAAATTATTTATAATATGTTGAGTTTGATATATTATTTTTAATTTCATTTTTATATCAACATACCGGTTAATATGTTTTAGTTGTGCTAAAATATAATATATTTAAGGTTGATTTTTTATATCAATAATATCAATTATTTTTATTATTTTCAATTGATTTCAATGAATTTTGATGAAATAATTCATTTTGGCTAATATATGAATCTAAAATATATTTTATAATTTTTTACTTATCTTTTATTATTTAATTATTTTTAATTTAATAAAAATAAAACTAAAATAATTCTTGAAAGTTGGATTTCTCTATTTTTTACTGCAACTTGTTTTCTTTTACACTTTGTTTTTTCAAATCAAAATTCGTATTCAAGAAAATAATTGTACTCTCTTTCTAAAGTTTAAAAATCCTAAAGTTAAAATTAATTTATTTTTCATCTCTTTATTTTTATCTTAATAATTTTTATATGAAAAAAATTACTTATTTAAATATCATATAATTAAATTAAATATTTAAAAATATCATGATAAATTGATAATATTATTTATTATACTTTTAAACTTATTTAATTGGTTTTTGAAAATATTGTATATTTATTTGTTTTTAGCAGTAGTATTATGTACAAATTCATGTATATTTTATAAATATATTTGCATTAAACCGAAAAAACAAAAATAATATGATGAAACAAATGGTATTGACATATATATTTTTTTAAATCAAAACGTTGTATGGTACGATATTAACAATTTTGGTTTTATAACATCAAAGTTCAATTTTATGGAAAATGTTAACCCATGTCTAGTGACAAGGCATTGATTAAAATAGTATTTCATAATTGGATCGATTAATCGAATTGATACTCATTTAATTTGAAAAGATAGTTAAATTTTGGATCGAAGTCTAAAATTGATCTCTCTATTATATTAGTTCTATGATTTTGGTTCCCATACTATAATTTTAATGTATATTACTTTGGTGTCTTCAATAAAATCGAGAGCTAACAAAACTGCAAGTTGGCTAGCAAAATAATCTAAAAAGAGATGTGCCCTAATGGAGGAGTCAACAGATCTCCATTTTCTTTGGTTTTAATTTTGGAAAGAGATGAACTTCTTAACAAAGTTGTTAATATTATATCATATCATGTTTTTGTTTTTTCTTAATGATATATATTGAGGTACTAGTTGTTTCAACATATTATTCTGAATTTTTTTATTTAATGCAAATATATTTATAAATAAATAAACATATATATATGAATTTGTACATAATACTACTACAAAAACCAAATAAATATACAATCTATTCAAAAACCAAATAAATAACTTTAAAAGTATAACAAATAATATCATTAATTTATGATGGTATTTTTGAATACTTAATCTAAACATACGATATTTAAATAAATATTTTTCTTTTCCCGTGCAAAAATATATTAAGATAAAAATAAAGAAATGAAAAAGAAATTAATTTTAGCTTTAGGATTCTTAAACTTTAAAGAGGGAGTACAATTGTTTTTTTAAAAGAGATTGAAAAATTTATAAATTTTGGTTTGAAAAAATAAAGTGTAAAAAAAATAATTGCAGTAAAAAAATAGAGAAACCTAACTTTCAAGGATTATTTTAGTTTTTTTTATTAGGTTAAAAATAGTCAAATAACAAAAGACAAGTTAAAAATTATAAAACATCTTTCACATTTATGTATTAATCGAAACAAGCTATTCCATCGAAATTCACTAAAACTAGACAAAACTAATCAAAACAATCAGTATTAGTTGGTACCAAGTCCAGTATGAAAAATCATTTTTAAATATATCGTATTTTGACATAACTAAAATATTTCAGTCAGTATATTGATATCAAAATGAAATTAACAAAATTGCTTCTCCCTCTTCAAAGGTATTTTGTATTTATGTAGTATAACGAGACGATAAGAAGTTATTCTCTTGTTGATATTAGTTATTAAGATTTGTTCATATTGTAAAATTGTTTCAATAAATAGAAGTTCAAACTTTTAAGTTTTATAATAAAAAATTAGGTTAAATTTGGTATGATTGCCTTGACTTAACTCAATAACCTCATAATTCTTTTACTTAGAAAATATTTTTTTAATCATCTAATTAGACAATCTATAAACATTTCAAATTAGGAAGATGATGGAAAACCTTTGTCAAACACCATATTTTGTTGGCAATAATTTGATGACATTAATTGGGATTTCAATTTTTAATTTTGAGTTGGACTATTTTAATTTTAATCTATTTAGACATTTTGATTGGACTTATTTTTACTCGTTTAATTTAGGCTCACTTAATCCAATTTTTGTTTGGGTTTAGTTGAATTGGGCCTATTTTGCATGAATAAAAAAGGTTTCGAGCCATTTAGACATGGTAGCCCACTATGGTGAGAAGTTTATTAAAGCATAATTTAATTTCTTCAAAATTTTAATAAAAAATATAAAAAGTTAAAAAGTTAAAAAAGCAAAAAAGCAAAAAAGCAAGAAAAAAAAAAGCAAAAAGAAATTGATTGTCGTGACTCAACTGGCAGCCAACTTTCTTTTTCTTTTTCTATTTCTCCCTTCCCCCCATGTTGTCACTCCATTTCTAGTTATACACACAAATTTCTTGTTTTAAAAAAAAAAAAGACAATGCAAATTTGGAGTTAAATAACAATTTCAATTTATCAAGAATGTATAGTACCCTTCATTTAAAGGGTTTTGATAACTTAGGCTTTGCTTTATAGGTAGGATAGAAAGTGGTAAGAATGAAAACTTATTAATTAAATGGTTAAAATTCATTACTACTTTCTTATTTTATAGCTTAACCATTAGATTAATAAATTTTTCATCCTTACATATTTCCATCCCTTCTACCCAACAAAGCCTTAATCTTGAATTTAATAAGTTTGGACAAAAATTTAGGGATTTTGGGAAGTTTATAATTTGATCCCAAAATCAAATATTCTTGAAAATTGATCTCAAAATTAGAGATTCTTGGAGTTTTATCATAATTTAGGGATTCAAGGACTTTAATATCAAATTTAAGGATTCTTGAATTTTTAAACTTTTATTTTTAGATTTTCCATCTTTGATTTGATTTATTGAAATTCTAAAAACTTTGTTCTTCAAATCTTACTTGTTAAACTTGGGGAAGCTTTAAAAACTTATGGAAGCTTTAAAAACTTTGACTCTTCAAATCTTTTTCTTTTCCTACTAGTTTTCTTAAATTTGTTTGTTAGAACTCTAACGACTTTATTCTTCAAATTTTCTTTCTAGGACTTACAGAAGCTTTGGAGATTTTAATTCTTTAGATTTTCTTCTTTAATTATCTTCTTAAATTTTTCTTCATTTTTCCTTTTTCCCAAGGTATGTGTTAAATCCTTTAGCAATCATCTCAATGTTGAAGTCCATGGTTTGATTAGGAGTTGCCCAACAACTTACTTGTATCCTGAGAATCGATAGTTTTGTTTTCATCAAGAACATGTCTTAGAGATAGTAAATGAAATATTAGAGGAATAAAAGCTCCAAATCCCTTATGGGATAAACATAGCCTCTACTTTTCCACTTTACACAATGCCCAACTTAGCTTACAAACTAAAGAGCATATTTATCCATTTTATTATTAATGTCATACAATTTATGAGTAATTTACATGTCCTGCACTATCACACATGCATCTAACGATATACCTTTAGACATGCAACCTTGGTTAGTCTACCAACCATTGAATGATGTAAAACATCGTATTATCAATCCAGTCCATAAAAAGTAAAGTTGTTCTTCCTATTAATATAAAAGCAAAATAAGGTAACCAAAAATGCATAAAATGCAACCTATTTTAAATGGCATATTTAAATGATAGATTATACAATACTTCTAAGGCATATTTAGTATAACCCATTTTATATATAATATATATGATAAGAATATGCATGGCATGCTAAATGTGGATTTACATCATAAAATATCCACTACCTTTAATAATAAGTAAAATCCTAAAACTAACTAAGTGGTATACATCATACATTCTTGAAACTAGATGATGGATGATTATAAATTATTAATGTCACATGCTCATTAATTAATAAGAAGCCTAAGATGCCTTAAAATTTTTTGAAGAATTATACCTAAGCAAATTGCCTAGATTAAGATCCAAAATGATGGATTAAATTGATCATTGAGAAGTAATATGATGACTAAGTTAGCAACGTTGAATGACCAAAGGGACTAACAAATAGTAACAAACAATGGAGGTTATAAGCTGAACAGTTGGATAATATGTTAATCGATCATAATAGGTAAAGCGTTTCAAGTAAGCAAGCGAATGATATTGGGAAATTGAACAAGTGAACAGTGATGATGGGCTTTAGTTGTAGGATGAATGGTTTAATGGTGCATTGATCAACTAGTATATGTATGTTATGGCAAATTAATTAGGTGATTATGGTGAATTGGTGAGCAATGATTGTCTATGAATGATTGGGTTAATGGTGGATAGGTGGTGACAAGTATCAAAATTTGAAGGAAAAATTTAAGAGGTTTGGTTGAATGATCAAAAATGAGATTGTGAGGTGATAAATTGGTTCAATGAGTAATACTGATCGACTAAGACATGTGCTAATTGATTAATGATGATGATTGGATTTTAAAGGCTTTTAATGAGTACTTAAGTAAGCTTTGGAATGAAATGGAGATTTAGGCAATAGATAGATGTTATCGAGAGAGGTTAAGTTAGTTAAGCTAATTAAAAGGGAGTCTTGAGTGCTTGCAATAGATGGAGTACCTTGGTAGACTAGGGTCGATTGATCAAAATAGGTGTTGATCATTTAGAAAACTTGCATCAAATATAAATTCAACAATGTGGAGTCTTTACAATACCAAGCAGCTAGAACTAATAACATCAA